GAAAATAATTTTAAGGTTGGAGGTCACCACAACATGAGAAACTGTATTAAAGGGTCGCGGCATTAGGAAGGTTGCGAACCATTGCCTTAGAAGGTCCTGGTTAGAGCAGGAAGAAATCATAGGGGAAGAAAATCTCAAAATAGTAAGAGAGACCAGTATCCCTGCCTATAGAGAGACCACTGGAATCCCAGAAATGTGGACCATAGTCACCCTTGAAACCTAGAACTGAACTCACCCCAGTAGTACAATAATTAACTACTTAAGATGAAAAAAAGCAGCATCTACCCAAGGACAAAAAGCAGAGGGTCTGGAAAGGAGGGAGAACAGAAACAGGAAAAACAGAAAGTGGGATAAATGACGGTACATTGAGGGGATTTCGATGGATGAGTTGAATCAGAATCTATATGAATTATTTAACATACCGTGATTATCTGCTCTGTAAATGTTCACAGTAAAACGCCTTTTAAAGGTTCTCTAAGAGAACTATTACAATGGTCCATTTGTTATGGTTTTCAAACTGATACTAATTATAGACAGACTGAATATTGGTTGTAAAAAAAAAAGGTTGAGCTCCAGGTTTTGAGCAGCCAGTAAGTTGGAAATGTTCCCCCCTTTCTCTGCACTATGTGTTTTCAGTGGTTAAGATCCCTACGTTCAGAAAAGTGAATGCAGCAGTTACCTAGGGCCATCTTGTCATCAAGGTAGCTGAGCCAGACACTGAGTTCTTCTTCTGTAAGGGACTCCTTGCAATTTGAATAGCACCCTCAGCAGAATTCATTCACTCAATAAACTGAGCAAATTATTTAACTTTTCTGTGCCTAGTTTTCTCCTATGTAATCAGACCTGCTTAAAAAAAAAAACACAACCCTGCTAAAAGTGCTGCATGAGTTCACACTTAGAAATTCCTTAGTTACTGACAGCTGACTATTGTTACTGGTATCACCTGTCAGCACTTTGCTGCTACTTTGTTGAGCTGGGTCTCTGTTGAGATGATACATTGTTATCCTATTACAAGAAAACACATCAACTTTAACACTATTATTTACTTGTGGCAAGTCCTATCCAGTGATGCAGTGTCATGTGACTGAGGCCAAAGTTTCTTCTGACAGACATCACTGTAAC